CCACTCCTCGGAAAGCACTCTTGTCAAAATTGCCAACTGTCATTCCCAGCAGCACTTCACAAGGCTAGAGATTCCCTTTCTACAACACTTTCTGGCTGTGTCTCCTCTCACTCCCTGGCCCGTCCACTTGGATCATGTTTGCTAGAGCGGCTGCCTTTTCCTCACCTCCACCAGGGCTCAGACCTCGGATCCCTTGACTGCATTCTTTGTATGATGAACCCATCCAAATCCATGTTTCTAAATCCTGTTCATAAGTGGATGTCACTCAAAATTTCATTTTCCACCCCATTCCTCTCCTGGACTCTACACACACCAACCCCTCTACCATCCATGGCCTTCCTACTGTCCCCGATATGTGCCTACTTCTGTGTACTTACACTTTACCTTCCCTCCATCAAAACGCTCGCCCTCCAAATAGGCTCATGCCTCCCTCTTTACCTATTCGGGTCTCAGCTCAAACGCCACCTTACCCAAAGACCTTACCCAGAGACCTTTCCAGGCCCTTCTAAAAATACCATCTCCAATGTCCTGTCCCACAGCATTTATTACCACTGGAAATTATATTATCTGTTTGTAAGTTCACTTGCCCATTGACTGACTGTCTTCCTCGTTACAATGAAAGTTCCATACCAGTCAGCTACTTGTCCCCTGTAGCTACTTTTGGGCCCAGAAGAGGCATTGAAACAGCTATAAAATGACTTGAAGAGAAAATTTCAATAGATAAATTACAAATTCCAGTCATGTTTGAGTATTTTATAATTAGCAAGTAAAACATTTGTCATCAGCAATAAACAAAAAAAAAAGCCCCACAAATAATTACAATGGTAGGGCTTTAATAATGATAAGGTACCAAATTATATGTGCCATATATTTATATACATGAAAATAAGCCAATGAACATCTATGGACCACAACAGAACAATCGTATTGTGCACACCATCACTTGACTGGCGAGTAGAATCAATAGTAGTTAACAACAACAAATAAGTAGGTCAGTAAAACACAGATAGAAAGGGGCGAGAACTAGCTTTTGCCTTGATTGGCTGCTGTGGCCCTGCGAAGCACTGTATAGAAAGGAGCACTAAAGCCAAATTGGGACTTGCAGGAAAGAAAGGCTCAAGCTGTCTGTCTGTCAGGAGAACAAAAGGGAGGAGATGGTACATCCATGCCAGATAAATGGGACTCAAATAATCACCATCTTCCAACCCTTTCTATTTACCTAACTGCTCTCAAGAATTCTACATTCTGGAAGACACCAGACCACGAGAGGGATGAGAGAAATAAAGGATCAGGTGAAGGGCAAACTTTTGGGGAGTTTGATTAGTATTTTAAACTGTTGAACACAAAATTGATGGTCTGGAATATAAACCCCTACCTACTTTACAATAAAAATTAAAAAAAAAGAATTCCGTATTTGTACACCCAAGATTCAGGAAGTTATAGGAAGACTGAAGAAGAATTTACACACTTCAATTATGGTGCTAGCAAGCAATATTTAGTATATCATGGAAGAAGAACAAAGAGATCTGTCTTGGAAATGCAGCCAGATTGCACCTTAGGAGAGATGGCGAGATTTGCCTCCCACACTTTGAACATGACATCAGGAAGAACCAGTCCCTGAAGAAAGTCATCATGCGTGCTGCTAAAGCAGAGGGAGAGCTGCGACAAAATAGACTGACGCAGTGGCCGCAACAATAGGCTCCACCTCACCTATGACTGTGATAATGACACAGGACTGGCCAAAGCATTATATGTCCCTATCTTCCCTCTTTCAATAATGACACCTTCATTCAAAAAGCCACACAAGCAAAATCCAGGGCATAAAAAAATCTAGTTCTAGACCCCAGATAGACTGAATCAGAATCTACACTTAACCTAAATCCCAGGAGTCAAACTGGAATGAATGGATTCAGAGGCCTGGTAACAGCACCGGCACTTATCCTTGATTCCCCTCTTCCCCCACTCCTGTCCCTTGTTCACACGACAGCAAATCTTTCAAGCACTACGCCCAAAGCATTCTCTAATTTCATCTGCATCTCTCGATCTCCAGGATTAATTCCTTAGGCCGAGCCACCACCACCACCCTTACTGGGCCCCTGACAACAAGTAGCATTTTAGGTGGTCTGCTCATGTATACTTCTGTCCCCTTATATTACCCACAAAGCAGCCAAAATGATCTCTTAAAACTCTAAGTCAACTAATGCCATGCTGCTGTGCCTTTCCACTGAATATGAAGTCAAATCTCACCTCCTCACCCTGGCTAATTTCCCCTAGCCTGCCTGTTCAGCTCTGCCTCAAACCACTCCCCTTACTCCCTAGGCGTCAGCTACCCTGGCCTGCTTTTGGTAGCAAAGATGCTCTCACACAACTGCTCCCTACACGAGATGTACTTCCTCGACACTCTCTGTGACGCTCAAACCTCACCCACACCCTCTTCCGAAGTCTTCCTTTACCACTCCAACTGAAGTGCCAACTCTCAGGATCACACCACCCGAACTTAACTCTCGGTAAAGGGTAAAGAACGACCCGAGACTTTGCTAGGTTCTTTATTAATTTTTTAGCTCTCCCCCCTACCATAATGTAAAATCACAACAAGGGAGCTTGTCCTTTTGACCTCCCTGGCTAGAGAGCCAACTGACGTAACTTGTTGAATATCATTTGTGCAAATATTTTTTCCAACGTGTGTTCCAAAACGTGTTTGGCTTTCTCCCCCATCGCTGAGGCAGTGTGTGCATGAGCATGAGTGGATCTGTTTACTAACGTATTCATTCATTCATATTTGTAGACGAACTGAATGGAAGCAGAACTATAAATGAATTCCCTGAAACCAAACCAAACCCATGCATTAAGTTGTCTTCAGCTATGTGCTGGGTACCAAGTGTTTGACAGGCCGAACGAGGTGCTGACTTCACAGCAATGAAAAAAGCCATCTGCTTTCCTGGAAACCAAGAGAGAGAAAGCAAGACAGGCAATTTCCAAACATTAAGTCACTGCCATGAAAGGGGCAGCTGAAGGTTTATCCCCAAACTCCACTGCTAGTTCGTAGATTAGGACCCACAGCAGGCCCACAGAGAAGCGCAGAACCGCCCCTCGGGGTTTCTGAGGCTGCACGTCTTCCCAGGAGCATCCAGCCGCATCTTTCCCCTGTGGAGTAACTAGTAGGATTGACCTTGTGGGCAGCAGCACAAAGCACAGCTTATTATGGGACGAGGGCTCCTTCAGAGCGTTTATAGGTAGACTGAATCTGGACTCGGGGGGTAGAGGAGTCAGCAAATGCTTCCAGAAGAAAAAGCCATTAAAACTGAAATCTGATCTGCAGGAATGTATACCTTTGGGTAGCTGGGAGTTGGGAGGGCAGAAAACAGGTAGTAAAAATGAGTATTCGGGACAAAGGAAATATTAGCAAAATCCAGAATGCCAAGAGTTTATAACATACTCAGAGGGCTGATGGGAATTTATTATGGCCGGAGAGCAGAGTATCAAGACCGAGTGAGAGACTAAAGAGATGTCTCAAGTAAAAGTATGAAGCCCCTTTAAAGAGTTCCTGAGGCTAAGGAAGAGCCACTAAAGAATTTAAGATAATTCTTATCTGTATGCAATATAATCCTCATCTAAGAAAGATCATTTCACCCATGATGTAGGAGAGAGTTTTAAGGGAAACTGAGAGACCAATGTGAAGGCTGCTAAAATCTCCCAAGTAAGAAATAAAAGGAGCTACAAATAGTCAGAGTGGAAACAGAAAACTGAGCGTGAAGGTCCCAGTTATAAAAAGTTTGAGAACCAGGAAAGAACGACAATGTGAAACAGGATTAGATGAGCATACCGAAGGACCAAGTACGACTGCACAGATATGAAAATTATCAAATCTCTTTACAATATGCAACATCCAAGCGGAACTTTCTCCGAATATAAAGATGTTTAAAGATGGAAAAAAGACATTCAGGCTTTATGAAAGATTTACATGGCAGAATTGCTTCCTAGCACAAGTAATTTACAGAAAATTTTAAATAATCTGCATTTCTAATATATGAATCCTATTTTTAGTAAAAATATTAAAACACATGTATGATTAATGTCAACAGATTATAATTTTAACAGCATCTACTAAAGAAGTTTATTCTGTGCAGCCACAGCTATACAAATAATTATAGTCTACCCTCTAGTAAGCCTTTGCTATGATTACAAAAAAGTTCTGCTGACAGTAAGATCATAAGTATAAATAAAATAACACATCAAAAATGCACATTTCTAAATAACTGAAATTTGTTAACAAAAAGTAAATGTTATGTTATTATTTTGATAAATTATATCAGTAACTCAATATATAACAGAATAAAAAAACTCGAAGTAGTAACTATACAATCTAATTCAGCAAACATTTATTCTGAATTTGACACAGCCGCATGCATGTACAAACACAGACACGCGTACATATGTACTGGCACTATGGTAGGCACAAGAGGAGAAGGAGCTAGGAGACGGAGCTAAGAGACAGATGTGTACTCAATAATTCTAAAACCTAAATGAGGAGGTAAACACAAATATATTTTGGGGAATCTTTACAAGACTTCTGCAATGGTAAAGTTACTTTAGAAAGTAAAAATAGTTCTAGCAGAATATACGAATATTTTGCAATTGAGAGTAAAAAATAAAGGTGTCAGGAAGAAGATTCTAACTATAGGGAACAATACATTTTATATTTCCACTGTTTGACTCTATCGATATAGTGCTAGCTATAAGAAGATTACTACTACTTAAATCATGAACCCAAGAGCTTAATTGTTAAATATCAAGAAGGCACATCAAACTTGTAGGCAAGTAATAAATGATAACCAAAGATGAGGAAAAAAATAGGAAGACGAATAGAAATCATCTCTGTAGAAACTTGCTGAAGATCAAAAGATAACCAACATAAATTATAATTTAGTTCTGTAGTTTAAGTAGCATACTTCTCACCGCTCCCTTATTGAAGTACCTGGAAATGACACCATAACACTTACCTTATAACTATAAGCATGGCTATAAGAATTGAACAGATAGGATCTGCGATCATCAAACCAAAATTTTGCATCAGGATAGCAGAAGCAATTACACCCAGACTCCCGAGTGTATCTGCTAGAATATGTAAAAATACACCTGGAAATAAAGCATAAGCAGAATCAAAAGATTAACATCTGGTGATTTTAAAATGGAGATATTCCTAGATATTCTTATTTTTATAGATGGCACATTTAAATATCCACTTGAAAAACGTTAGAATGCAGTCACTGTCCAGTAACTACATGGCAGTACCTTTTCCCGATGAAAAATCTTCCTTTTTTTAAATCACAGGGGTCGAGATATCTGATTTGTAAATTATATTTGCTCTAAGTTAGCCTTACTATTTTGATATAATATAAATGAAGGAGTAGATAAACACATTAACACAGTGCTTGTGCATGCATATATGTGGTCAAACGAGTTCAAAAGTGAATTATTTGTCACAGGAGGAAAACTGCATTTGGTCTAGTAGTGTCAAGCTGCAAACTCCAAATATGTGTGCACATAGAGCCCTCTGCTGGTCATTATAAAAATTACCACTTGAGATTAGAATTTTCTATGGCCTATACTCTTATAATCCTGGCATTTTCTTATTAATATCCCGAAAGTTTTGTTACACAGTTAAATATTAAACTCAAATTCAATGTGAAAGAAAGCAGGGATATGAATATTTTCAAATGGAAGTGAAATACATCCTGAACATCTCCTATTTAATTAAATGTTAAATTGGTAGGGCATGAGTATACTGATTGATTATACGAATACCCCCAAAACCTAAAATAATAACACTTAATAAATCGCATTTTCCTGGAAATGCATTTAAAATGTCACCCAATATTAAATTTTGTACTTATGAAGTAATAACTCATATTCTTTAGCATGTTGATGTTTAATAGATAAAATTTACTGTCTAGCTAAACATGATCTCTTA